TGCTTTTCTAACATCATCTCTCACCATGTCTTAGCACCTAGTGTGTTTCAATGAGTTCTCYTGTCCTACACCAAAAATAAATGAGGCACCTGCTACCATTCAACAGGCTGTACATTTTACTTAATGTGTTTATCCCCTACTTCTATTAACCATTCATCATGTGGACAGTGATTTTTTTTCTGTTAAGTTTACTTCTGTTAAGTTTCCCYACCACCTTAGAATAACATCTTACACATAGTAGGCACTTGGTAAATTTGCATGTATGAATGGATTTTTAAAACTGACCTATCTTCATGTACATATACTAGGATTAATATTTAATTATTATGTGTCAGGGACTATTTCTTTTACAATTTTAAATCAGATTGATAATTCTATTTCTTGTATTTTAAAAACTGATCATTTTTTTTGTTCAAGGCATTAAGACACAATGGTTAATTAGATATTAGTAGTGGAGAGCTAGTTGTTGCTGATTTGCTCTTTTTTCTGATAGCCTTCAACAAGATTTGAGGTAATATGTATATTCAGAAATTATATTCTAGATAACGTCTATCTTTTAGTGAGACATAAGAAATCAAGTTTTGTTCCCCTCAATAGCTGGTCTATAAACAGAAATTTGTATGCAGCTGAACCAATTAGTTTTCCGTATATTCTGTGATCATAAATACTGATTACCACAGAGTGCAGTGCTATCATCATTTCTTTCTTTAAGTTGCTAATTTTTTTCACTATTAAAATTTGTTTCAAGTTGCAATTCAGTGCTTGGAGACAGTTTTTAAGATCAGCTCAGAAGATACACATCTAGCAGTTTCACAGCCTTTGACAGAAATGTTCACAAATTCCTTCTGTAAGGTATGTTGTCATTGTTTTCTCATTAGTAACTGATGTAAGTATGACTATAATTTGATGTTGGATTGTTTATCAATGAGGGGCCAGGTCTATAAGTAACGAACTGATAGTTTTAACAGATTTAATATGGTTTAGATTTTTTATATTAGTAGCTATTCTCATCCTCTTCTTTTACTTAATGATATATCTTGGCTGACTTTTAAAAATCCTTTACAGTATGAGTATTTTTAGATTTCTGATATCTGAACTGACATTCCCCTAAAACATGGACTATAAATTAAAAGTTTTAAGGTCTGGAAAGCAACTATGCAGAAATAGATTAATCTGAAATTAAATTATCATTTCTAAAGCAAGTTTCACTAAATTTGATCATTGATGGGACTCTATAATAAACAGAGAAAGAAGGTTCAGGGTCACTCTGCAAAACTGAGACTGAAACTCAAGTTTGATGTCTGAAATGTCCAAATTTTCAGGAAACATAGGCCATAGCATTGTTTGAAAAATTTCAGGTTAGAGAGTATAGGGCCTCAGAGTGCCCTCCTATGTTGTTTTTCATTCTATTTCAGTGCCTCGTGAACTCCTCCTATTTTTCTAACTCTTTCTAGTACATAATAAAGAATTCAGGAGTGAGGCTGACACCAGTAGTATAGGTTTAGCTTGGAACAGACACTGCTGACAGTATCACATTTAGCTAGATTTTCCAGGCTCTGTTTCTAGCATTTGTTGGGAAGAAGAGTTCTTAGAATTGCAGTGAAGATGTTAATTTGACAGTAAGCTATATCCTCCTTTTAAACTTGGCAAAAGAGTATTGCAGTCATAGATATAGTCATCCAACAGATGAATTTTATTTATATGACATGATGTGAGGAGATGGTGGCATGTCTCTGTGTTCCTCACAGGGAACTCCCTTTTTTTCCCTTTTGTTAAGGTTCTTTATTATCTGGGCTCTGGCCTCCTGAGGGAACCCTGTGTCAGTGACTTGGATGTGACTGTGACTGAAGTAGACCTCTTTTATTCCCAGGTGCCTGAGGCCTGTGCTTGAGACAGCACTTGAATTTGCTCACACTTTAGCTACTGTCACCATTGACTTCATGCTGAAGAAATCTGAACTTCTTTTTTTAACCTTTCCCAAAGCTCCAATTGACTTTTACATTCTGTTTGAATAAAGCTCTTTTTCTCTCTCTCTCAGATTGCATTTTATCATGAGAAATTTGTTATATAATATTTTAAAAACATATTTATTAAAACTAACTCCTGGGGCTGGGGTTGTGTGGTAGAGCTCTTGCCTAGCATGCATGAGGCACTAGGTTTGATCCTCAGCGCCACATTAATATAAACAAATAAAATAAAGGTATAAAAAATATAATAACATTTAAAAAACCCAACTAGCTCATTAGTCTCTCTGCAGTAATAATGTGATATTAGCACCTTTTAGGAGTCCTATTTTATAGCTGTGACTTTATTCTGTATTTGTTAACAGGGCATTGAAGAAAAAGTTTAAAACTTAGCTGAAACAGCATCATCAGTGTTATAATTAAAGAAATTATTTGTCTCACCAAAGTGTACTTGAATGTTCTGTCATTTTAATTTTAGGATATTGCTTTTCTGTTCCACCAGCCTCCCACCACCATAAAATTTATACATATCCTAAGTAAATTCATTACCTTTACTTAAAATATGTGACATTTGCCCCCACATCATGAGCTTCTCAGGCTCATTCAATGAATATGAGAATTATAAATTATGAAACTATGGTAATTTTATTAAAATTGTTGAGAAGCATCTGGAAGACAGAATAGATTAAAATTTTTAAAAATGTCTTTTTTAAACCCTAAACATTTACTTTTTAGAAAAATTTACAAACTGCCTAGACTTGTGGGAGATTTTAAATGGAAGGAACCCTAAAAGCAAATGCTATTGGGCAACAGTATGTCTTTTAACTAGTTTTAAATAGTGATCTTTACTTATAAAATGTTTCCATGATGTTTCTGTGCTATTTTTCCAGTATTTATGCTTTGGAAAACTGATTACTAAAGAAAAATTTTTTAAAACATAAGGACAAGATCATATTCTTTGTCAGTAATTTTGCAAAGTATATTTCCAGTGTTAGAGCTATCGGTTTTATTGAAATTTTAGTTTAAAGACAAAGGTAATAGTAGGTATATTTTAAATGTAGTAAATAGTTATAGTAACTCCATATTATGCCTTTTTGAAAATTATAGGCTTATTTTGAACTTTAGAGTCATGTTTGAAAATAATGCAATTTTTAAAAGTCTTTCAAAAATGAAAAAAAAATTGTGTTCCCAGTACTACTGAAGAGATTTCTGAGTTTTGTTTTTAATTAGCACCTACATTTGAACTTTATTAATGCAAAAGAAATTTGAAGATGATAGTAGGTGCGAAACAAAAATTTCATGCTGTTTTTAACTTATGGAATTAATATATGCTTATAGTTTTAAAAGTCTAGACAAGATGGAAAGATAGACTGAAAGTTTTATCTTTATTACTACTGTGAACCTTTTGTTATACATCTTTCTAGTCTTGGCTTTTAATACGTACATGTGTATACATGCATGAATGAGCATGTACACAGATAATGTTTGTATCTTTAATGCTATTTTTCTTTTTTGGTAAACTGATTTTTGACTTGGTATATCTCTTTGGTAGGATATTGAYCATTTTGCTTCAAAAGTTTCACTACTATAAATAATCCTGTGATTATATTTCTATTCTCATTCTTTATGTACAAATTCAATTTCTTGCTCATGAAGTGGTGAGATTACTGGGTATAGGGAAAGCAGAATTTTAAAAATTTGATTTATAGTTGTTTTATCATTTAGAAAAACTCAACAGATTCATATTCTTTTTTTTTTTTTTGGTACCAGGGATTAAACTCAGGGGCACTTAACCACTAAGCTACATCCTCATCCTTTTTTTGTATTTTATTTAGAGGCAGGGTCTCACTGAGTTGCTTAGATTCACTAAGTTTCTGAGGCTGGCTTTGAACTCACAATCCTCTCGTCTCAGCCTCCCGAGCTGGTGGGAGTACAGGCATGTACCACTGCTCCTGGCTCATAATTCTAATATAAGTATTTGAGAGGAATTTTCCCTAGTTTTTATATTAATGCTTTTATTTTGATGTTAGAGTTCATGAAATGGAATTACAGGAGAATTACTAAAATGTGGGTATTTTATTATTAGATTACTTATAATACTCTGGGATGACTAAAGAGAAGTACATTGATTTTTTATTTAATTTCAGAATGACATTCTACCCCTCTCAAACTCAGTGCCTGAAGATGTGGGAAAAGCTGACCAATTAAAAGATGAAGGTAAGTATTTCATACAGAAATTGTTTATTTAGTAAAGCTTTGTAAACTGTGGAGAAAGTAACTGTGAGTTGATGAGATTCTGGTTTACACTGCCAAGACTGAATTATCCACACGGCATTTATGAAGCAGAAATGAATGTGACAGATGTGAAGCCTGGAAATACAAAATGGCATGTGGGCAGTATAGGTATGGCTTGTATGAAAAGATGCAGCGATCTTGTAAAACTTCCAGAACAAATGTAAGGGCTGTTCACTTGTAACTGCATTTGCTACTTGAACCCTAGGATCTTATATTTCTCTATATTAAATCAAAAAGAGGAAAATAATTTTTAGTATTATTTTAACTTTCATATATTTAGTATTCTTGAGTTCTTTGAAATTTGTTAATGCATGTATATGGTGCTTGAATTATTAAGTAATTAGCACACTTGATTTGTACATTCCAGATTTTTCTAATAGCTGACTATTGAAGCATTTTTTTAATTTTAATCAATAAATGATTTTGAAGATCTATGTTCACTTTTTCCATCATGTCTTTATCACTCTTAAAAGAAACAGTATATCCAATATATCTTTTATATTTATTGACGATTCCTAATTTATAGTAACTTTTGTATGATTTTGGATGCTTTTATCTACCTGCCTTTCCTTTAATCTTCCTTCTTATTCTCTGCAAGTTCCCATCCTACCACCTCTATTAAATATCTAATGATCTATTAAGAAAAAACCTTGGTGGGCATGGTGGTACATGCCGGCAATCCTAGTAGCGTGGGAGGCTGAGACAGGAGGATCGCGAATTCAAAGCCAGCCTCAGCAACAGTGAGGTGTTAAGCAACTCAGTGACACCCTGTCTATAAATAAAATACAAAAAATGGGGTAGGGATGTGGCTTAGTGGTTGAGTGCCCCTGAGTTCAATCCCTGGTACCCCAACTCCCAAACTAAAGAAAAAGGCTGATTGATAGGAGAAGTTCTGGTTTACAGAAAGCTGGAAGCAGACATAGAGGCCTCTGAGCTGGGAATTGTTCCTCCTAATCCCAACTGTTGTAATATTTTCAATTTTGAACATTGGTTCTTATAAATACTTCCCCCACCCCCTCACTTAACAGAATATAAGAGATACTCTCTTACATATTTTGCTGACCAGTTGTTAAATTAGCTGTTATTGCCAGATGTATCTGCCCTTCCTGAAAATCAGCTCTCTGTAGAGTAGCTATTATGTCTGAAATTCTAAATTCCTAGAAATTAATCTCCTAAAATCTCCTTTTAGTAAGATTATATCTCTGGAAGGAATAGCACATAAAAATATTATCTGCTAATAACATATTAGTACAATTAGTTTCACCAGCTTATCTACATCAGCATTAGAGCTTGGCTGCTCAGGAGTGTGTTGACAGGGAGAGGTAGAAGATCAGGCCCAGACTGAGATGGCTATTAGAGAGGAACCAGCAAGGCAGCTCTAAAAGGGAACAGAGAAAAGAAGATAAGGTGAGAAGAGATTCATTTTCACCATGAGATAATCATGATGGTTGCATTAACTCASAGAAGCCTGGATTTTATAAAGTATACAAACATTAATTTCTAAGGCCACATTGTTAAAATGATTCCATCCCACTGAAACTAAGGAATACAGTGTGTCTCTGGTGTGACTGAAAAATTGTGTAGCTGACCTTCATATTCTTGTAGTTTCTATGCATTAAATGTATCTGTTAGACTTTGTATTTTTTATTATGTACTGTAATTACTGTCCATATCAATTATTTTATTTTAGGCAATAACCACATGAAAGAAGAGAATTATGCTGCTGCAGTAGATTGTTACACACAGGCAATAGAATTGGATCCCAATAATGCAGTTTATTATTGCAACAGGTAAGTTGGCTCTATTGTGGCAGGTTTACAAGTGTTTAGATTAAGAGCTGTGAGGGAAAACTGCAAAATTGATTTATTTAGAGAATGCTGGAAGTTCAAACAATATAAACAATATAAAGGAGATGAAAATAAACTCATAAACTTACCACTCAAATGCAATAACTTTTAATGAACTTTTGGCATATTTCATTTTACATAAGTGCATTCAATTTTAGATTGAGCTTGTTTACAGGACATACCATAAATGTGTCCTAATTTTGTTGAAATCCTTCATAACTACTATGGTTAAAAATCACTTTATTGCTACCTTTTGGTCTTTTTTTTTTTTTTTATATCTTCAGCACTTGTCATTATGGCTGGCAAATAAGTGTTCTGTGTTATTTTTGAATAGTGGGTAGCTACACCTTAATTTACTTAATTTTTGATTTACTGGCAGACATTAAGGTTGTTTTATTTTTTTAATATTATATAAAGCTGCAATGAACATTCATGTTTCTAGAATTTTTTTTCATGATTCAGATTTTATGAACTTTGAATTTATCCCTAGAAATACATTTAGTTGGTCTAATAATATAAATATTTAAAAATTTAATTCAAAATGCAAAATTGTTTTAATTTCTTTGAAAATATTTTGAAAATTTCCTCCCCCAGCAGTGTATATCTATTTTTGCCATATTCTTTATCAGCACCATGTCCTCAAATTATTAATTATTATTAATACAATATTTATTTATTTATTTATTTATTTATTTTAAAGAGAGAGTGAGAGAGACGGGGACAGAGAGAGAGAAAGAATTTTAACATTTATTTATTTTTTCTTAGTTCTCGGTGGGCACAACATCTTCGTTTGTATGTGGTGCTGAGGATTGAACCCGAGCCGCACGCATGCTAGGCGAGCGCGCTACCGCTTGAGCCACATCCCCAGCCCTAATACAATATTTAAAAAAATATTTTTTAGTTATACATGGACACAATAACTTTATTTTGTTTACCTATTTTTTTACTGTGGTGCTAAGATTAAACCCAATGCCTCACATGTGTGAGGCAAGCGTTCTACCACTGAGCCACAACCCYAGCCCTTAGTATAATATTTTATTTCCATACCCATTATCCTAATTTATACTTAATTATACTTAATTACTTTGAGGCTGGATGTTTTTCAAATGTTGGTTATTTGTGGATTTTTTTTCTCCTAATTTTTAAAATTTTTACTGTATGTACACTGAATGTGACAAATTCATGTCAGACCCTAAACCCCAATGTGGTGTGTTTGGAGGTGAGACCTTTGGGAGGAAATTGGATCATAAGTATGAGCTCTTATGAATGGGATTAATGCCCTTATAAAAGAGAATTCTCTGCCCCTCCTGTCACCCGAGGACATGGTGAGGCAAGTACCTGTACCAGGGCTGTACCCTGTTGACCTCAGATTGTTTCTCTTTCTTGGTTCTGTCCATGTAAGAGGGATCAGGCCCCCTTAGGCTGTGTTTCCAAGGCTTTTTGTATCCTCTTTGTTCAACCATATGAAGGGCTAGCAAGAGATTGGAGGGTAGAAGGAAGAGGGAAGTCTGAATATTTCTCCCCCTCCTGTTTTTATATCATGGTGGTATTCAGCAGGTTTTTTTTCTCATCCTGTCTCCTCCTTTCACCCAAGACACCTTCTGTGGTCCCTGCTTCATCCAGGTGACCTTGGGTTTTGGCTTCTGCACTTTGTGCTTCTGTCTTAGGGATGGTAATGGATTCCTGCTCTTGCTAATCTTTGGATTGCTATAACATTCCATTTGGCCTCTCAACTCTTCTATTACCTTATGTAATGACTTCCCTGCATTAAATTATTATTAATTGTTCTGTTTAATCTAAACAGAATTTCCAGAGAACCTTCTGCAGTGATGGAAATGTTCCATATTTGCACTGCCCAGCACAGTAGCTGCTAGCCAAAAGTGAACTGTTAAGACTTGAATTATGACTAGTGCAATTGAGGAAGTAAATTTTTAATGTTTAACTTAATTTAAAATCAATTTAAATTAATTTTAATTTAAGTAGTCACCTCTAACTTATGGCTTGTATATTGCCGTATATTAAAGATAAGATAAAGTTTTTCTCCTAGTTTCAAAGCTTAAATTTGCCTCTAATTCTTTGTATTTAACAGTTTAAAATATTTATGTAGTCAGRATTCTTTTCTTTGAATTTTTTTCCAGAGCTTTTAGGCTTCAAGCTCTCCCCGTTTATAGACTTGACAAATGACTCCTATTTTCTAATTTTTCTTTACATTTAAATTTTGTCATCTCAAGTCTATTTTGGTGACAAGTATGACTGTTTTAAACTCATTTAAAACTTCTTATGACAGCCTTATACAAACTACCATTTATTTTACAGTAGTTTCATAGATTTGAAAGGGATAAAAGTTAATGTGGTCTAACCTTTCATTGAGTTTTATTGACATATTTAGGGTAGTCACACTCCTCTGAGAGAGCCCATACTTTCCCATTTTTTTTTTTTTTGTGGGTGTATTTGTTAGAAAAGTCTGCCTTATTTTGATACAGGATTTGTTTTTCTGCAAGTTGCATCAATTGGCTTTATTTAATTCTTAAGATTAATTACAGAATAACTATGATTCTTCTTTCTCATGACAGTACTTTACCTTTGAAAGTTTGCTACCATGTTCATTGAAGTTCTTTTTTTCCATGTTAAATGTTCAAAATTTCTTTCATTGTGTTTTAGGTAGTACAGACCTAAGTCCCATACCTTCTCCGCAAACTTGTCCCAGTTCACCTGTGTCTGTTAGGAAGTTCYCAGAGGCTAATTTTGCATGACATTTGTCTGGTAGAGCTCTCATTTAACCAGCTTTTATRTAACATAATTATCTTTTAGGACATTGTAGGATATCCTGTAGGATTTCCTAAATTCATATTTCCTTTTGTTTGATTAAAGCACCCCCCACGTTCTCCCTAGCTTATCATTTAATCACAATTCATTTGACAAGTTCTTACCAATTATGTACTAGTGTTGTCATTAGAGGTAGAGTTGGTTGCTTGGACTCAAATGCAGGATGTTATATTCTACCCCTATAGAATTATTATCTTGTTGCGGCCTCTATCTGTCCCTTCATCTTTTTGGATAATGAATCTGTAAAGTAATATATTTGCTGTTGTTCCCAGTTTCATGACATCCAAAACCTTGAGAAAAATACCATCTCTCATATTATTGTCAGATACAAGTTAACTAATGGAGCAATCATAGGGAAGTGGTTCAGAGCAGAAAGTGAACCCTAACTTTTTGGATTCTAATTTCTGGCTCAAGTCACTTATAACCATTGTGATTTTTGGCAAATTACCTAATGATCTATGCTTTATATTCCCTATCTGTAAAATATGGACAATAATAGAATTTACCTCATTGGGCTGTTGTGGAGATCAAAAATTTAATTTATGTAAAGTACTAAGAAAGAATCAAGCAAAGAATGTTGGATTAAAGTAATAACTTATCATTATTATTTTTGTAGCCTATTTTCTGCTTTGATCATAATGTGGAGAGAGAACCAAATTTATCAGGTTCCAAATATATTCTCAGTCATCTTTCTCTGATTACCAGTCTACTACTAATACTATTAAGATAAAAAGGAAACGATGTTCATCTGATAGAACTTGTTCCAAATTAATCCAATGTCATTTTCTTTTCTTTTTTTAATATCACATATTTTATTGTGAAAATTTTCAAGGTTGAAGGAATTTTATTGCAAATAATTATACCACACCAAGATTTTGCCATTAGTATTTTTTTGGGGGGTGGGTACTGGGGATTGAACTCAGAGGCACTTGACCACTGAGCCACATCCCCAGCCCTATTTTATATTTTATTTAGAGACAGAGTCTCACTGAGTTGCTTAGTGCCTCGCCATTGCTGAGGATGGCTTTGAACTCATGATTCTCCTGTCTTAGCCTCACGAGCCACAGGGATTACAGGCATATGCCACCATGCCTGGGCCATTAGTATTTTTATGTATTTGCTTTATCACATATTGATCCATCTATATGTACCTCTATTCATTCATTATTCCTGCTTTTTTTTTTTTTTGTGGTGCTGGGGATTGAACCCAGGGCCTTGTGCATGCAAGGCAAGTGCTCTACCAACTGAGCTATATCCCTAGCCCCCATCTTATTTTTAATACATTTCAGAGCAATTTTCAGTGATCAGTACACTTCTATACTAAATACATAGCATACATATCATTGATTAGAGTTCAGTATTTGTTTACTTTTTTTTCTTTTGAGGTAAAATGTGTACACAACAAAATTTTAATGTACTTTCAGTTTTGACAAATAAATCACCTGTGTAACTTAAGCACATCTTCAAGATATTGAAAATCATCATCAGATGTCCAGGAAGTTCTTTGTGCCCATTCACAGTCAGTTGCTTATAATGCTCACCAGGGATGATCACTGGTGCTATTTTTCTCTCCTACCATAGATTGGATTTGTCTCCTCCAGAATTTCATAGGAAAGAAATTATACATACTTTTCTATATAATTTTTTTTTGAACTGAGGATTGAGCCCAGGGAAACTTTACCACTGAGCTATACCTCCAGTCCTTTTTTTTTTTTAATTTTTATTTTATTTTATTTTTTTTTTATTTTGAGACAGGACCTCAATGAATTGCCCAAGCTGGCCTTGTACTCGCACTCCTTCTGCTTCAGCATCCCAAGTTGCTGGGATTACAAGCAGGTGCCACTGCCCAGCTACATAAAAATTTGTTGTTGTTGTTAAGCATGTTTTTGTGATTCAGCCATGTCATTGTGTATAGTTTATTCTTTTTTATTGCTTGGTAGTATTCTGTTGTTTGAATATATCACAGTTTGCTTAGCCATCTTTCTACTTAGAGTTACTTGGTATCCCAGTGTGTTTCTGCTTTTGCATTTTGTCAAATAATTAAAGTTATCTATGTAAGGACTGGATCCATAAGGAATTTAGTTGGTCATACTGGAAATCTCAATTTTTTTAAAAAT